ATTCAAAGCTTGACAGTCTCCCGCCCCTGAAGAAGGAGGGATCCTGTGCTGGTTGATGGATTTGGGAACTAGAAGACGAGGGTGCCCAGTGGAGCCGAGGGGCTGGACCCTGTTAGCAGGAGCACCCTCCCCCCCACCAGCCCCTCCACACAGCAGCCAGTCAGGGCAGCAGCCATGACCCGCCGTGTTCGTCCAGCTGGAGGGAAAAGCTGCTGGTTCAGTGTTGGGTCTGAGGACCTGGGGCTGGTCACAGAGAGGACAGGGCGTGAGAGGGCAGCGTGGGGTAGGCTTCCACAGGACAGCCGAGCAGCCCCGGCAGCCTCCCTGAGGGGACAGGCAAGGGGAGGGAGCTTGCCTGCCCAGGGAGTGGCCTTGTGGCAGCGGGAGCCTGGGGCCAGAGAGCTCTGAAGGGCCGCAGAGGTTTGGGGTCTTTCAGGTCAGGGCCGTTGGGACAGTGCAGCAGCATGAGCAGGTGTGACTGGAGGTGTAACTAGCTTGCTGCCACCCTGCTGTGAGCCTGGGCTGCAGGGCCACCTCCACCACCCGGGTGACATCCACACCATGGTGGCTCAGCACCTCCAGCTGTCCCAGCACCAGGGTGGCGCTCACTGCTCTGGCAGGGTCCCTGTGGGATGGTGACTTTCTTCAGGGTGGGGAGCGCTCCAGCCATGTCTCCTACCTGGGACTGGAAGTCAGCAAGAGCAGCACTGTGAAGGGGTGGCTTTCATCAAGTTCCCTCTTGATGACATCTGGCCTGGACGACTGGATTCTGAGAGTGTGTGCTGGGAGGTCCAGCGCTGAGGACACACAGATCATGTCTGAGGGAATGCGCTCTGAGGTCCAGAGCACTCTGGACGGTTGGTGCCACTGCCCCTGACCTGCCCTGTTCTGCACCAGCTTTCTGCAAAACTGCACCCCTCGTGTCTGCCACTCAGCACAGCCTTCAGCAGTTCAATGAGGTGGCCGGTGCTGTCTCTAACAGGCTCTGCAGAACGACTGTCCCCATAGGCTGCGAGGGTCTGAGCGTGGCCAGGCCTGGCTGGGCTGAGCGGACTCACTGGGCCAGGGGCTTGAAACATGCTTCCAGCTTACAGTGCTTCAGCTCGCAGCATGCTCCAGGGGACGGGACTGCCGTGAGTCCAGAGCATCTGTGTCCAAGAGAGTCAGAGATCAGGTCTGCACCTCCCGACACGCCTCACCAACACAGGGCACAGCCATTGGTTCTCAGGAGGAAATCAGCCAACTCCGTGCCCGTCTGGATGCCCACGCTCTTACCTGGAATGTGGATTCCTTCCAGAGTCCCCCAGACACAGGGCCTCCTGGCCACTCTGCCTCGGACACCTCTCCCTGGGCCAACTTGTTCCTCCAGACCCTGTGGAGACCTCCCTCCCACTGCCTCTGGACCCAGGTGTGGGTCGGTGTGCTGGGGGCGGGGAACCAGGGGCCAGTCAGTGCTGAGGTGTGTTCCCAAGGACAGGAGCCAGGGGCTGCAGATGTGGGTAGAGCTAGCTCCAGAGAGCGTCTGCCCCGGGGGCTCAGCACGTAGGTGTTCCCTGAGCAAACTGATTCTGTGATGACCTGCTTTCCCCCTTGTCCCCAGGAACTACGGCGTAGAAGAACCTCAGCTGTCAACCTGGTTTAAACCCAAGTAAGAACAAACATGTCCCTTTATGAAAACAGCATGTCTCACTTGAAGGGACGGGTTCCTTCCTCCAATCCCCACGACATAGCACCCTGGGGTCCAGAGTGGTGCCCTGGTCTTTGAGGTTCTGGTGGGTGCCCAGGTTCTGTTCACCAAGCCCCAGCATCACCAGTGAGGAGAGAGTGGACGCACTCTGTCCACTGGGCTCCGAGGTCCTGGCTTATCCAGGGGTGGCCAAGCTAGGTGCAGCCAACCCAGGCCCCTTCACTCACGGACACTAGCGCTGCAGAAGAGAAGAGTGGACTCCCAGGCGGCCATGTGTGCCCACGGGTGCAACTGTGGTCCAGCGGTCTCTGTCAGTTCAGATGGACGGCAGGGCCCAGCCCGCTGTCCCAGCACAGGGTTTGCTCCTGGAGATCAGGAAGTAGTTGGCTTCAACAGTCCCCACCATGTCCCCGTGACAGAGGTGTGTCTGGTCCTTTAATATCAGTGACTTTTAGGTCAGAAGAGCGACTAGGGGTGGGGGACAAGCTGTCTCGAGGGTCTGTTCAGGTTTCCCTGCTCACACACGGAGGCACCATGCCAATGGTGGTGCTGCCTCAGGGGACCCCCTGGGGCCTTGTCCTGGTGGCTGCTGTGCCCCCTCTGGGGCTGGCCGATTGAGCCCGTCCCTGGGGCTCCGGGTAGCTCACAGGTCGGGGAGGTCCTCATAGTGGGTCAGTGGCTGACCAGTTCTTCCTTTTTGTTCATGATGATGTGTATTATTTGTGGGATAAATTTCTGAAATGGGGTTCTTAGACCCAAGGTCATAACATCAGAACATTTGATGTAAAGTTAAAATTGCTAGATGTCCCTTTAATAATTGTCCCCTTTCATCTTCTTATTCACAGTGGATAAACTCACGTCTCATGAGAACGTTCTCATTGAGGGGTTCAATAAGCAGTGGCAGAACTGCTTATTGAACCCCTCAACTCAGTCTGCGCTCCCGGGACTGTCTCGGGGTTTGGGGGCATCTTTGTGTTTGGCTGGTCTCTTGTGCGTCCCTCTCTCACCTGGGTCTTTTAGGGGACCCCGGGTGGGCAGAGTGGGTTCAGGACAGCCCATGCCGGTGTCTTGCCAGAGCCCACTCAGGCTGCCTGTCGGTCTGCTGGCTCTTTGAGACAAGGCTGCAGCCTTTCACGCCCATGCCTGGGCGTCTGTCCTTCCCCACCCTGCCTCTCTGTCAGTGCCCACCTCTGCAACACTCACTGGCCCGGCTCCCGTCGCTGACCGTGTGGTCCTGGCGGGTTGACCTCCACTCTCCTCCTATCATTTTATCTCACCTGTATGTGTTCTGAAACATCCACATTTGAACCTTGGTCATAGCTTTTCAAAGGGGACCATGCGTATTGGTGGTCTTCTGGGTCTACCCCTTCCTTGGTGCCACGGGGCCAGGATTCACCCAAATTTTGCACATTGTTGCAGTTCTTTTTGACATCTGTGTAGTACTCTGGCGTGGAAATGCCCCAGCAGATCCACCCTCTGCCCTGCTCCTGGGGGCTCGAATTGCTTTGCTCTTGGGATCTGTGCTGCCATGAGCATTCGCATGCAGTGCCTCCTGGTGGAGAGCCTGGTGCGTTGCGACACTGTGGTAACAGATGTGAATGTCCCACCTAGGGCGCAGGGCGTGGTACCTGTTGTACTCTGGCTGCTTTAACAGAGTACCATTGACTAGGTGGCTTTAACAATAGCAAGTTGTCACAGTTCTGCAGGCTGAGTCCTGGGGAGCAGCACGGTCAGGTTCTGGTGAGGGCCCTCCCCTGAGCATGCCCAACCCAGAACTTTTCAAAACCCCTCTGAGAACTCTTTCCACAGCTTTTCCTCTTAAACTCTTTGCTTTGTCTGTGCTGATTGCTACGGGCACGGGGTTGGTCTTGGGCTTTTGATGTGGGGTTTACATTGATTTTCAAATTTTGAGCCAGCCTGGCGCATCTGAAATCCTGTTGTCATTTCTTCATTATGGAAATCTAACCCTCTCCCCCATTTCTGACTAGTCTTCCGACCTCGCTGGCCCCTCGGCTGGCTTGGAGCAGGCATGAGGATGTCCACTGGGCACGGGGGTGGGGCAGGGGCAGAGGCACGGTGCAGGAGGCCGTGGGCCCACCGTGAGCTGGCTTCGGTCTGTAATGGAGGGTGCTTGATCGGGCTGCTTTTCCCTCCAACTGCCCTTCTGCCACCAGGGCTGGAGGAAGTGGCCTCTGGACCTGGGTGGAGAGCTCGAGGCAGACACCAGTCCAGCAGTGTGAGCCTCTGTTGACCGTCACCCTGGGGTGACGCACTTGACCTCTGTGGGCTCTGCACATGCTGGCAGGCAGGACACCCGTGCACGCCTCAGAGGGTCCTGCCAGGGCCAGGCCCTGTCTAGTGCCCAGGAGGGGCTGTGTCAGCACACTGGTGCCAGTGGCCACAGCCAGCATGGTGGCCCTGCCTAACTGTTCTGTGTACTGCCCAGGAAACGCTTGGACGTCACCACCACCACTGACTGGCTGGCCCCCATCTTGTGGGAAGGCACGTTCAGCACACAGGCCCTGGAGAAGTTCTACAGGAAGCGGAACCTCACTGTGGGCCTGGCTGTCTTTGCTAGAGGCAGGTAGGTGCCACCAACATGTGCCCTTCTTGGGAAAAAACAAGGACACGCATCATGGACGTTCTGCCCCAGAGGGCAGCTTGTCCTTGCCGTGGCCGCTGCTTCCAGCCGACCTGTACAAGAACTTTGCTGTGGTCACTTTTCCACCTTGGCTGGGTCCGAGGGTCCACTTGGGAGGCCTTTGGCCAGCGTCCACTTAGCTCTGGCTCAGTGGTTCCAAAATTCCAAGGCACGTCAGGCCCCGGGGCTCACTGTGTCCTGGCCCCCTGACTGACCCAGTGGAGGTGCGGCCTCGCCTTCTCTCCTGGAGGATGTTGGGCTCTTTGGCATCAGGCGGCCTTTGGTGGCCTCTGTTCCCCAGAGAACACGTAGGGACACAGGCTTCTTGCTCCGTGTGTCCCAGGTTTGCTGATGAGTACCTGGAGGTGTTCTTGCAGTCGGCCAACAAGTACTTCATGCCCGGCCACAGGGTGGTCTTGTACATCATGACCGACGACTACGTCAAGCGGCCCAGCATGGAGCTCCGCCCACTCTGCACCGTCCAGTTGCTTCTGATGGAGGAGGAGCAGTGGTGGTCGGACACCGACCTCATTCGCATGAAGGTCCTGGGGGAGCACATCGTGGCGCACATCCTGGAGGAGGCCGACTTCCTCTTCAGCATGACGGCCGACCTGGTCTTCCAGGACGACTTTGGGGTGGAGACGCTGGGCACCTCCGTGGCGCAGCTCCACGCCTGGTGGTACTTCAGGAACACCCGGAATTACCCTTACGAGAGGCGGCCTCAGTCCTCGGCCTACATCCCGTTCGGACAGGGAGACTTCTTCTACGGCGGCTCCATCATTGGGGGCACACCCCAGAGGGTCCTGGACTTCATCAGGGACTACATGGAGGGCGTCATCCACGACCTGAAAATTGGGCTCAACAGCACCTTCGAAAGGCACCTCAACAAGTTCTTCTTCCTCCACAAGCCCACCAAGCTGCTGTCCCCCGAATACGGCTGGGACCCCACCTTCAACGCCCCGCCCCAGGTCCACTACGTCAAGGTGGCACTGCACCCCGAGAGGAGCTGAGGGGGCTCCGCGCCCTCAGGACACACTCGCAGGACGCCAAACCTCCCCATTTATAGATCCAAACGCACCCCTCCAGAGGGCTCTTCCTCCTCACGATGGCAGCTCCTCTGGCTCGGTTGACCTGGGATGAAGAGTGAGGGTGTGCTGAGTGCTCGTTCACGCAGGCTGCCGTCTGGTGGTGCGGACAACGTGAACAGGCTTTTGACACAGGGAAGGGAACACTCCAGTTCAGAAAAAAGTCTGTTTGCAAAACAGAAAAGTGTTGTTAAATAAACGTAAAAAAAAAAAAAAAATCTGTTTTTATTCTCCCAGCATGTGGCATGGGCTTGGTGTTGGATGCAGGAAGGTCGTGGCCAGTCTGTCCTGCAGGTGACAGGTCCTAGGTGGCTGGAGGCGGGCTCTCTGGCGACACACAGAGAGGTGGTAAGTCGAGGGTTTAAAGCTGGCCCTTTTGCCTCTGTTCCTGAGGAGCTGTTTGCTGACTACCTGCTGAAGCCTCTCGGTCAGAGGTGGCCAGGATGGTAGTGTCCTCGGCAGCCTGGGGGCTGTCAGGAGATGAGCCCTGCAGGCTCAGGGGGCCACTGCTCTCTGGCAGGCTTTGGGCCCCTACGCAGGGGTGCACCCTGAGTGCTACAGACTGAGGAGTGGTCCCCCTGCCTCTCATTTTGGAAGCCTGAGCCCTGGTTTCTGAGAACGTGACAGGGCATTTACAGAGGTCATTAGGTCAAGATGAAGCCCGTAGAGTGGACCCAACTCCAGTGCAACAGGAGTGAGCTCATCAGAAGAGGAAATCAGGACTGGGACCCATGCAGACAGATGACCAGTGAGGCCCAGCCCAGGAGAGGCCTTGGAGGAGCCCACCTGCGGCTCCAGGCCCTGGACTTGAGCCTCCAGTGCTGGGAGGGGGCCTCCTGCCCACCTCTGCCCAGGTGCCGGGCAGCCTAGTGAACTGGGGGAGTGTTCTGGAGCTGGCGGCGACCCTGCTGCTGACACCGCAGGGCAGATGGGGGCCGAGCGCTGTGGCTGGAGGAGCTGCCGCCTTCAGGGTCAGACCCGGGGCCGTCACCCGCGGTCACTCCTGTGGCCTCCCTGCCCGGCCCTCTGGCACTCCGGGCCAGGCTCGGCTCCGCTCAGCCGTCTGTCTGAGTGATTTCCCCCCTTGCATTCAGTGTCTCCACAGATGCCAGGAGTGAGGAGGGGGAAGGACCCTAGCCACAGCCCTGTCCAGGGCCGTCTGTCGCTGCCCTGGGTCTGACCTGGCAGGCAGGGGGACTGCCCTGAGCAGGGGCTCTGCCAAGGTGGTGTGGAGGCAGGGAGGGTTGTGGAGAGGAGCTCAAAATGCCCACGTACAAGCAGCGGAGCCAGCATCAAGGCAGAGCAGGCCCTTGGTTCACCTGGGGACAGAGGTCAGCTGGCCAGTGGGTGGGCTCCCGGGGCCACCCTCAGGCCTGCTGAGGAGTCCAGGGAGGCCTGCCAAGCCCTGTCCTTACTCGAGGGCCGCCCTTCCCGCACAGTGGGCATCACTGAATCTGTCTAGAAATGTCCCTGTCTTATTTGGTGGACAATGCGGTGCCTCCTGCTGGGTGCCCGGGAGCCCGGCCCGGCCCCATCTCTTCCCTTTGCACTCGGCAGTTCTGGGTTCGGCGAGTGTGCAGACAGCCCCGTTTGGGGTCTTCTGCTCATTTTTCTAACTCCCATTTGAATTAGGGAGTAGCTTTGATATATATTTATCTGTGTGATGGGAATTCATTGTCAATTTCGTGGCAAATATCAGTGACACTTTTTTTGTATTTTAGTTCTGCAGGTGATAACTGATGTGCGGGGATCCAAAGGCTCCGTGGGCCCCTCTTTTCCCTTGGGGTTTCTGTCCTACCTGTGGGCACCTCGGTCCCCAAGTATAGGGAGGACAGAAATTTCTAGGTTTCTTCTTTTCTAGAATGGGTCAGGAGTTAACGAGTGGCCACCTCTGCCCTTCCTGTGCCCCAGAGGTCTCCCCGTTGCCGTCAGCTCCTTTATTCAATGCAGGTGCTGTCAGGGTGGGCCATTTTGTCACCCGTGCTGTAGGGACGCGTGTTTGTCTGCTGACCCCGGGCCTCGCTGTCTTTCTTCCTGCCCTTGCTCGTGCCCCGTGACTTCCCCGCTGTGGTTACGTCCCAGAGACAGACCGTTTCAATGCTTTTCTTTTTAAACTTTCCTAAACTTGTACTCTTTCATGTAAATTTTAGATTTGGGTTTTTTTCGGGCAAACGTCCCTCTGGAGCGTGGCCTCGGGGGCTGGCATGTGGAGGCCAACTTGAGCTGGGGACCTGTGGGACCCCGAGGAGCGCGGGCATTTATTCTGTTGGCCCTGTGGGCAGTGTGCCTGCTGAGTACACCTCTGTCACCCAGCTGCACCCCAGCCCCGGGCGTCTCTCTGAGTCCAGAATAAGGGTATCTTTATTTCACAGGAAGTCTGCACCTTCTTGGGTTATCACATTTCCAGAGCTGCTGGTTATGGGGAAGCGGCTCTGTTCTGTCTATTTTGTCACCGTGTCACCAGCTTTTGAGTCACCCCTGGCAAAACCCTCCTGGTGGCGGTTCAGTGTTTTAGGTCATGCTTGTTTCACTCTGGCAGAGCGTGGGGACAGCTGGCCAGGCGGGGCTCCTGGTAGGCTTGGCAGAGGTGTCTTCTGGGCTGGGCACCTGCCAGGCCTGTCTAGGTGGGTGTCAAGGACTCTGACCTGGTTTCCCCGGAGCCTGCCCAGCTGGAGCAGAGGTGGGCACGCACTGTAGGGCCCTTGGCTCTGAGCCGGGCGTCCACCGGCCTCAGTGCCCCAGTCCACGCATCCCTGGCAGCCCCAGTTGGCTCCCAGGGGGGGAGTGTGGTTAAAGTCGTGGCCACTCTCCATAGTGGCCCAGAGCAGACCCACGGGGGCAAGGTCAGGGGCAGGAGCTCCTGAGATAAACCTCCTGGGGTTGCCTTGTGACACACACCATGGGGTGACACTGTCAGCCTGGGCCGGCGTGAGGACCTTGGCAATCTGCTCCTGCAGGTGTTTCTGCGGAGGTGGGGACGTGGGGCCACACGCCCCTCCCACTAGTCTCTTTCAGGTGCAGGCCGGGCTGGGAGATGCTTGGGTCCCTATGTGGTCAGTTGGCAGGTGGCCCTGTGACCCACAGGGAGGGGGGAGAGGACAGACTGCAGGGGCTTCAGGCTCCTGGGCAAGTCCCTGGCCAGAAGGCAGGGGAGCTGGGGTCAGTGCAGAGGGATGGAGGCCCAGGCAGGAAGGCTCAGGGAGTGGACTTCCCTGGGCCTGGGCTGGGGCACTGTCCTGTGGAGGGACAGAGAAAAAGGCCTTGATTTGGTCACTCTGAAATTGCTCAGGTAATGAACCAATCACAGGACCGGCCTCTTGTCCCCCACCCCCACCCCCACTGGCCGTGCTCGCCTCCCGCGTGGCCCATGGACTGAGTGAGACCCCACAGGTGAAGCAGCTGCCCGGCCTGAGTGTGCTGTGGATGCTGCCCGCGTCAGCTGTGGTCTTCAGCTGTCGTGGTGAGGGGGCTGCGGCCAGGCGGCGGCTGGGAGGAGCTGATGCAGCTTACCAGGCACATTGAAGACCGGGGCGCTCTGCAGGCGGAATTTCTCCACGTACTCCCAGTACTTCCCCAGCCACGCGGGGTCCTCGAGCATTCTTCTCGCTGAAATCACAGGGCTGTGGTAAGGGCCAAGGCCCAGGGCCACATCTTCTCCACGCCCTCCTCTGGGGTGAACAACAGGGAGGCTGAGCCTGGGCGGCCGGTGCCAGCCCTGGGCCTCAGCCCTCTGATGCTGCAGCTGAGATGCAGGGCACACACTGGGGCTGGCCCACTGTGGGGCCTCCTGCCCTGCTGCCACCAGGCCCAGCCTGTCCTCTTCCCTGGACTGTTGCAGTGGCCCCTGCCCTGAATCCCCTGAATGCAGCCCAGGGCACAGCCGCCCAGGGCTCCTTGAAGGAGTGGGCCCGATGCAGACCCCAGAGGGCCTCCCGCTTCCCCTCTGGTGATCTGGGCGACATGCTGGCCAGCACTGGAGAGAGCTGGCCACTTACCCAGCAGTGCCCATAGGCTGGTGACCTCGACGTCCTCAAAGCGTACGTACAGAATGAGGTTGCTGTAGTCGGAGCTGACGAAGCAGACATGCACGCTGCCCCCCGCGACTGGGGACCCCAGGCAGCTGAGGCACCACACCTCTCCTCCTCCCGGGCCCCCGGCCCCTCCCACGGGCAGCACAGAGCCGTCTACGGAGGACGCCCGCTTCCCCATCCCCCGAAGCCCACAGCCTCCTGGTGTCAGGACAGAATGGAGCATCTGGGGCCCGGCTCACCCCTCCCCACTCAGCGAGGGCCAGACCCCAGGCTGGGTACTCACAGGAACCTTGGTACTGGCCTGGCAGCCCAGCTGGGTGGATGGTGACGTTCATTCCTCTACACACCCCTTCTCCTCTGGGAAAAAACGTCACCCTCTTATGGCTCCCAGTTACCTGTCTCAGGGGGACATTGGGGAGCCCTGTGCTGGGAGCGCTGGTGTCCCCATGCTCTTGGCCCCTGGGGCTTGGGGCAGTCTGGCACTTGTACCTGCATCAGGGTCAGGCATCTGGGGGAGGAGGATGGGGCCACGGTGCCCAGGGTGGAGCTGAGGGGCCCTGGGCAAGAGTGAGGGAGTGGGGTGGCCTGTTGCTGGGCGGACCCACGTTTCCTGAAGGGGATGGACTCATTCACCCCAGGTTCTGAGCTCTGGGTCTTGGGGTCAGGGACCTGTCTGTGCTGTTCCTGTTTGTCCAGCTCCATGTGTGGACAAGCCCCACCCCCTCGGCCCTTGCCCCAGGGGCTCCAGATCCGCTGGCAGGGTCAGGGCATGTGCTTATGGACCCGTGTCCCCGGGGCCACCGTGCGTCTGTGTCAAGAACAGGCCACCAGCTAGGCAGTGGTCTTTTCTCCTAGGCTGGGTGCAGGCTGGCACAGTCCTTCCTCGTGGGGTTAGTGCTGAGCAGAAGTGGCCCTGGGCAGTGCTCCTTCGTGAGGCTTCTTGGGAATAAATTAGCCACTTTACTTATTCATTGATAATTCATATTTGAGACAATCTCAGCTGGTTCAGGCTGACCTTGGACTGCCAGCTCCTGCCTCAGCCTCTGCAGTGGCAGGGATTCCAGGCTTGTGCCAGGTGCCGGGCAAGTTGGCTGCTTCAGATTGCTGGAGACGGACGTCTGCCCCCTGGGCTAGCGCGGTCTCCAGGCTCGAGCTGAACATCACAGCCGGCTATGCCCTGGGCCCAACTGCTGGGCCTGGCCATGGCCTAGGCCTACAGGTTTAGGGGTCTGTCCCTCCTGCTGGCCCCTCTCTTGGAGTGTGAGGGCTTGTCCCTCTCAGGGAAGGGCCCCCAGCCCAGCTCACTGTCATATGCCTCCCTGGTTTGGGCCTCTGGTGCTGTCCTTGGGGGCCTGGGTCTGAGAAGGAAGAGGTAGGGCCCACGCTCACATCCAGAACAGCACCAATGCCAGGTCCCCACCCTCTCTGGTCCAGATGGAGTGGAGAGCAAGCCTCAGCGGGTCAGTTGGCAAGACCAGGTCTGTGTGGCTGGTGGCCAGCTGCATGGTGAACCAGCGTCCCTCCATCTGCAGGAATGTGGGCACAGGGACAGGCAAGGCTGGCTAGTCCCCTGTCCAGGATCCGCTGAGCCTGTCCAGCAGGTGGCCACGGTTCCACTGGGGGCATATTGGTGGACTTCCTTGGGGTCGAGTGGCTTCCCTTCTTGAAAACATTTAGGCCTGCTCTTGACTCTCAGGCTCTCTGCCTCTCTGACCTGATTCCTGACTCTTGCTGCCCCCTTCCACGTCCACTCCCCAGTCGGACCCAAGCTGTCTCCTCTGCGAGTCCAGGGAGGGCGGCAGGAGAAGGCCTGTCCTGCAGCTGCTCTGGCTGCCCCTCCTAGCCTGGACCCTTAGTTCCACACCTGACTGTGGGTGCTGAGACCCCAGAATGGGTGGGCAGGGACGGACAAGGACTCTCTCTGCTCCCTGGTGTCACCCAGTGGGGGACTCCTCAACCCAGCCCTGGCTTTGCTTGTGCAGTCGAGGCCCTGCAGGCTGCGGGGACCTCTCTTGGCTTCTGTCTCTTGGGAGAAGACAGGAAGACCTTGAGGTTCATGCTCCTGGGTCCACCAGAGCTCCTGCAGCACAGGCTGGGCCGAACCCCAACCCCTGCCTCTGGCCTGAGCACCTCCTCCATGTGACGCTGTCCAGTCCCTGTCCTGGTACCATCTGAGGGCTGGGCCCACGATACCTACCTTTTGTGCGTCAAAGCCGGGCTGCACTGGCACCTCTTCCAGAGTCCCCTGGGTGCTGGCCAGGCCCAGGCCGAGAGCCAGCAGCAGCAGCCCTCTCTCCAGCATACTGGTGCCAGGTCCTGGGAGCCGCTCTGGCAAACTCCCCTGCTCTGCGAACGTCCTCCAGCAGCCACTTGTCCCCAGCAGCTGCCTAACCAGCTCTGGGTCCTCCCAGCCCTGAGCATCCCAGTCCTCCCCCAGGACTGACGCAGCCTCCTGGCCCCCACCCGCCTGTGTCTGGGATGTGAGGATGTGGCCTGGTTGTCAGGCCAGCCTAGCCACCTGCGGACCTGCCCTGGGAACCTGGGGGTGGGCCTCCTGCCCAGGGAGGCCCAGGAGGACACGGGAGGATACAGACGTGTCTGCCTCACCCACAGGCCCAGCTCCTCCTCCCAGGCCTGTGAGCAGGAAGGCAAGGACCACTCGTGTCCCCACTCACCTGCACCCACTTAGCTCCTGCCTGTGGGGGGATTGAAGGGGGTGGCACAGAAGGCCCTCAGATGGCACTGGGCCTGGGCACCAAGCCAGGGCTGGTGCTGATTTGTTCTGTTATGAATGTTATGAATCAGCTGCCTCTCTCCACCCCACAGCCACCCCCAACCATGTGTACAGGATGGTGTGGGCTGCCCACTTTTGGGGGTCCACCTTTGCCTTAAGGATTCCATGCCTACCCCACAACCCAGCCCTCCCCACCTTGTGCAACTGCAGAGATGCCAGCTGGTCTCCGAATGTGATGCCTGCCTCTGCACCCCACCTTCTGCCGGCCCTTCTCACCTCGTCTCCAAGCCCTGCCCTTCTACAGGCCTGGCCTGGCCAGGAGCTGAGCTCAGAACTCACCCCACCCCCCGCACCCTAGCCTGGAGAGCTGCCCCAACAGGATCCAGTTCCACATTCTGGAATCTGGTGCAGAAGTGACCAGAGGCCCAGGCTTCCCTGTGGCAGACAGTTGGCTCTGGGAGTGACCGACCCTGTGTGGGGCTGGAGGGTAGAGTTGGCTGACCTGTGCTAGGCACTTGCCCAGCACCTGTCCTGGGAGTTTGGGGTAAAGAGAACTTCCCACCAGCTTTGGTGTGGCATGAAGGGGTCACCAGTCAGAGCAGGCCTGGTCTGACCAGCAGGGCCCTCCTGGGGCTTTCTGTGAGGCAGAAACTGGGCCCTCTGGGGTGGGGACAGCCCCCCGAGGTCATCCTTGGCTTGGGGCTGGGCTGGCAGGTGGGGTGGCCTCCCACTCCCGGCCACAGACACCGTTGGCTCAGGCCTTGGGAGCTGGACGAGGACACGGCAGGGCCTGCCTCCCACAGCTGGAGACAGCGCCTGAGTGGCACACTCCCACCTGCCCTGTGGGCTGAGCGCGCTGTGCTCGAGGGCCCCTGGAGAGTGGCCCGCAGCTCTCTGCATCCTGACCATGCTTCCCAGGCCCAGGGAGCGTCCCCCTGTACTGGCCACTCTGGGAGGCCCTGGAGGGACTTGGTGGGGTGGAGCAATCTGGCCCCTCCCTCCCTCCTCTGGCCACAGCAACACTCAGCCTAAGTTATGGGCTCAGGAGGATGGATGCAGACGGGGTGGGGGTGGGGGACTCCTTTGGGTCTGAATGGGATCACCAGGGCCTGGGGGGCCTGGCACACCCTGTGGCCCCTCCAAAACCCAGCTGCTGCCATTGGTGTGGGATTCTGCCTCTGGGAACCCTGCCTGTGCCCCAGGGGCTGTTTCCAGGGATGAAGAAGCTCTGCTCTCCACCACACCTCCCTCTGCCCAGGGAGGTCCCTCCTCTGAGCAGAAAAGAGCCCGGCTGGCCTCTGGACACAAGAAGCCCCAGACAGATGCAGGACTGGTTTATTGTAGGGGGGGGGGGAAGGGCGCAGGTCAGGAGGCATCCAGAAACGGGGCCACAGGAACGCTGGCTCTGGGCTGCACACAAGGAGCCCTGGAAAGCCAGATGCTTTGCTGCTGATCTCCGGCCCAGCAGGACACCCCCCCACCCCGCCCACGGTCTAGGGGAGCACTTGGCTCCTGGGTCAGGATAGGGGGGGTTCCCTGGGTCTGTCCCCTCTCTGCATGGCCCTGTAGCCTCGTTCCCCAGGCCCTGCATACCCCACGGCTGAGCAAGAAGCCAAGCTCCTACACCCCTGGAGCCTCACGGGCCTCTGCCTCGAACCCCCTACACTAGGCCAGGCCTCCAGGTCACAGGCGCTGAGCCTCCGGTCCCTGGTCTTGAGTGGCGATTCCTGGGTATCCCCCCACATCCTCAAGCCACTGAGACAGCCTCAACCCTGGCCTGGGAGCCTGCCTAACGAGCCAGAAGGCAGGGTGTGGGGAGGCATCCTGCCCTGGGTGCAGGGGAGGACCCAGCGGGGCCCTGGAGGGATGAGGGGCTGACTGTGCTCGGCAGAGCTATAAGGGGCACCAGGATGCAGGGAGCACTGGGCCAAGCACAGGATGAGCCAGGGAGTGGCCGGGAGTGTGTGTGTGTGCACGCTCACTGTGGTGTGTGTGCACCGTGGTGTGTGTGTACAGGGGTGGGCAGGAAAGGGGTGACTGCAGATGAGGAACAGGGAGGCTGAGGCCAGGGGCGAACCTCCCTTCTCCTGGGTGGCTGGAAGCTTGGCCCATCCTGAGATCCCAAGCTGGGCTTCTGAAGAGGGGCCCAGCTCCTCTGGACTGGCCTAGGTCCACCCTATGTTCTGACTCAGTCTGGGTCCCAGAACACAGCCTCTTAGCAAGCATAGCCCAGTGGACTAGGGGCTGCACTGGGCAGGGTGGTCCCCAGAGAAAGCCACCTGCCAGAACTGGTGGCAGTAAAGACAGGGGACAGGCAGGTGTCTACTCACCTAGGACCCCAGGGAGGTGCATCTTGCTGCAGACCAAAGAGGGAGCAGAGGTTACTGACCCCAGATGAGGCCATCCCAGCCCATGCGGACCCCTCCTCCTGCCCACTGCCCTCTCTGGCCCCAGGGAGGACTTCCTACGGGGGGGTTTACCCTGGCCAGCGTGTTCCAGTCCCTGTGAGAAGTGGCACCTGCCGAGGTGGCTTACCGTGAGCAGACAGTTCCACAATGTTGTCTGGCTGGATACCTCTCCTGAGCGTGTGCTTCCTGTACGCCTCCTGCCCCACCTCGTTCACCAGGAAGGTCCTGCCTGCAGCCCCCGGAGTCAAACACCCAGTCACAGGGGACTGCAACCTCTTGGAACCCGCTGGAGGCCAGCAAGGAGGGCCCTGGGGCAGCCCCTGGGGGAGCCTCCAGCCCTGAGCCCCGCTGCCCTCTGCGGCCTGCCGTCCAGCCAGGACCCCAGGTCTCCCCGCCCTGTCCTGAGACATGCGCTTCTTCCGCTGTCCGGGTGGGATGGGGCTGGCACCTACCGTGGAGCTCCACCACGATGAGAGCACCCGCTTCACGGCGCTTCTCCAGGTCCATGATGAGGAAGCCATCGCCCACAGCCACGAAGGTGAGGAAGTTTTTACCTTCGTCTGCAACAGAAACCAGGATGGCACAAGGCCTGCTGGGTCTAGGCACCCTGCCGCCAGCACCCGCGCCTCCCCCAAGGGCTCAGCCTGCCCATCGCTCAGCATTGACTGGCTGGCCACAGCCCAGGACCCTGCCACCCAGACCACGGACTCCGTCAAGCTCTGTGTCTCTGTGTCATTGTCTCAGTCTCTCTCTGGGGCAGGAGGCAGGGAGGGCAGCGCAGGGGGAAGGGGGGCCAGGACTCCCCAGTCTTGACAGAGCTGTCTATGCCTCCTGCCAGGCTCCAGCTCGGCAAATGCTAGATGCAGCCTGTCCATCAGGCACCGCTCAGCTCCGCGCCCTCCCCTCCAGGGCTCAGGCTAGTACCCTCTGTCCCTAGATGACCTGCCCCCGCCTCACAAACGTTCCTTTGTGCTTTGGGACCTACGTTCACGGGGGGAAGTGTTAGCCGCACCCCAGGGCCTGGGCAAGGAAGCGCCAGAGCCGTTCTCTCCATCTCCTCCCTCCAGCTGGAGCCTGGGGGAGGGCCCAGAAGGGCCGGCAGTCCATGAGGAACCATGGCACAAGGGAAGAGTAGGGGCTGCCGCTCTGCAATTTTGAAACTCAGAGGGGTGGCTACTGGGCTGTGGGGGCACCTCCCCCTTCACCCACTCCCCACCTCTTCCAGAATATTCCTGCCAGTTGCCTTTGTACCTGCTCATGGCCAACCCCTGGCAAGCCGTGGGGCACTTTGACTCACACTCAAAAGTGTAGCGGCCGGGCGTGTTGGTCTTCTTCCCAATGTAGAATTCCTGCACGCACTTTCCATCTTTCCTAAAAGAGAGCAACGTCCTCCCTCCTTCCCCCTCTCTCCCTCTCTCTCCCTCCCTCCCTCCCTCCCTCCCTCCTGTGTTCAAGGGATGGAGCCCAGGGCCCCTGCACACCAGGCAAGCTCTACCGCTGAGCCACACCCAGTCTTACACAGCAGGTTTCCTGAGACATGCCAGCTGGACCTGGGTCCCCCCAAGGGCACCTGGAGCAGGAGCCAGTTGCTGGCCTGGGTTTTCCCAGATGGAGCTATGGACACCATATACCCTCCAGGAGAGTGGCCCAGAGGACCAGCAGTGTTTGGGGGTCCTCCTGGGTGGGGTGTCGGGGGCGGGAGGTTGAGCTGTGAGCAGCTGGGAAGCCCTGGGGAGAGGGGTTGGGATGTGGCCGGGCGGAGCCAGGATGGGAGAAGGGGTCATGCCAAGGACAAGCCCCAGCCCCTCGCCTGTGGAAGTAGGTGATGTTCAGGTCTCCGTCCTCCAGGAGTTTGATGCCAGACATGGAACACAGGTAGGAGCCTCCTTCCTCAATAACAGACGGGTCGGTGGCGCCGAGCTTGACGGTGTGCCAGGGCCCCTCCACCTGCAGGCAGCAAGGCCCTGTCCTCACCCTGGTGGTCCTGGGGAGCCTTCTTCCCTGGCGCCTGGTTGCAGCAGTGGGCAGGGGCAGGGTTGCCCCGGAGGGGGGCAGGGTGCAGACCCACCTTATCTCAGACCTCATGCTGATAGGGCTTGAGGGCTGCGACTCTGCCCCCAACCCAGCCAGGCTGGCCAGTGTAGTGTTGGCCATGGCGATGCTGACGGGCAGGCGTGGTGCCTGCACCCCAGCCCCTGGCAGAGTGGGGAGTCCTCTCACACAGAGGCCGTGGGGCCGTGTGCAATGGGACACGTGGTGGAGAGCTCTGGCCTAAGGGTCCCGTCCTTCTTGTTCAGGCCCCAGGCTTGCAGCCCTCCTGGGGGCTGGACACTGTGATGGGCTCCCAGGTGGCCACACACCCTGAGGGAACCCAGAGCAGTGAGGGGTCACTGTCCCAGAGCTCCCGGCCTCTGGAAGGACACTACTGTCCCTGTGGGTTCTCAATGCTGAGGCTGGCTCAGACCCACTGGTCTGCTGCCTCCCAGCTGTGGGGGGCATGGAGCTTGGTGTCTTCCTGTGTGACACGGGTGATCACTGGCTGTGCTGAGGAGTGTCAGGGTGTGCAAGAGGCTGTGATCATTGGGGTGTACACTGGGGGTATTGGGGTACAAGGGGCCCAGGAGCAGCCTCAGGGATGGGGGTGCCCTCCACCCCTCCCTCCGGCCCCCAAGAGCACCTGTTCAGGGTGGAAGCCGGGTTGCACAGGCACCAGGCTTTGGTCCTGCTGGGCCCAGGCGAGGCCCAGCCAGAGGCTGAGCAGCAGCAGCGTCATGGCCCTGTGTGGCTGTTCCGTTCGGGACACAGATTGCTGGATGCGGTGTGGACAGCCCTGCTCTGTTGCATATATACTGCTCCAGGGCCAGGGCCAGGGCCAGGGCCAGAGGGAACAGCCCCCTGCTGCCTCGCCCCCTCCTTGCACCATCCACCGGAACCAGCGTGTTTGCACAACGGGAGTTTGGAGACGGTCGCTGCCAGCCCTGGGCCATGAGCTGCTTCCTCTGAAAAGGTCTTGACAGGGGCTCTGGGCCAGGCCTCCAGGGCCACTTGGCTCCTGGACTGAGAGGCCTTTGTGGTGGCCTGGGCACATCCGGGGCTCCAGTGGGCTCACAGGGCTGAGGGCCCTGCAGCCTCAGCACCACAGGCCGTTGGTAGGAGTGGGGGTGGCACCCCTCTTCTGGAGAGGCCCCGCTTCCCCTGGGGGCTGGGATCCCCAAGTTGAGGGCTGTAGAGCTTCCTGGGGGGCCTCGGGCCCTCAGTCCCAACCCCCACCCTGAGTGACTGCGTTGCTTTATGGGTCTCTGTGTGGAGGTGGGCTCTGGGGCAACCCGGGCCTCTGGGGCACTTTGGGGCACAGCAGCTGGACATGGGACAGCTGAGGCTGGCCTTGCCCTGCTTTGGGCTGGCTACTCTGTGTGGCTGGCCCTGGTGCTGGCCTCATGCTGGTGCCCACTCCCAATGCCAGGACTCCAGGCTCCATGTGACCTGCGAGGGGCTGGGAGAGGCCAGGACCTGACCGGGGTTGTGCTGAGCCAGGGAGAGGACATGCTTCAAGGGTCGGTCCTCTGAGCCCTGCCCTCTGTGGCCACGGGAGCCCATGAAAGCCCTGCGGAGCAGAGGCCATGTATCCGGCTTGGCCCAGCTCCTTACCAACGTAAGGAGGCCGAGCTGCTTAGCTGGCGAGACTAAAAGGATTATGCTGGCCGAGAACTCGGAGTCATCACAGGTGCAGGCCGCCGGTGGGAGAAGCACGTGGCTGCTCATGGGGCAGCTGGAGGATGGTCTGCTGGTCATGGGATCATACGCCCAGATGATGGACAGGCCAGGGGGGGCTGGGGGCAGCGGGGACCGGGTGCAATGGCTTGCTGTGCCATGAGCCCCCGGGGACTCCTTCTGGCTCTCACTGCTGGCCCTTGGGCTTCCTGTCCCATGTGGGGTGGGGAGGCCAGCTGCAGCCGCTGCTGGATCACGTGGCGTGTGTGTGCATAAGCGTGCCTGTGAGCGCCTGTGCCCGAGTGTGCACACATGTGAGAGTGAGCGTGAGTGTGCCCGTGCATGCACATAGTTCCGTTTGTGTGAGTGTGTACTGTCACGCCTGTAGCCGGGTTGTGCCGGGGCAGAGGGTAGGTTGCCAGGAGAGGAACAGGATGCGGGGCCCCAGGACACCATCTTTACCGTCCCCCGTCAAGGACTTGTATCCCTCGTGCACTCATCTGCCTCTGCACAGGAGGGAGCTAAAGATGCTTGGAAGGCTGTAGAAATGGCCACAGGCACCTGGAAGTCCAGAAATGTCCTCAACAGCATCCCCCAAGGTGTGAGCAAGGCTGGCAGAGCTGCCCCTGGACACCCGGGGACAGCATCAGCCTGAGGCCAGCAGAGGAAGCGTGAGCTGGTAGAGTCCTCACTGTTGTACATCTGGTTTTAGTTGCTAACTCTCTGGGGAGGAGAGCAGGTGGCCACATGTGCTGCAGGTGGGCTGTGAAAGTGCCCGTGGTCCTGCAGGTGGACTCGGGCCCCTGCCAGCCACAGCTCTCCTGGCCACCACGACAGATGACAGCAGCCGACGAAACGCCCACCAGTATTTCTGTAAAATTCCGACCAAATTTTCCCAGGGCACTTTGATGTAATAAGAGGCCTTGGGCTCCACCAAGTGGCCATCCTGGGGCATGGCGTGCTGTGTCCATCCTCATGAGCGCCAGCACATACCTGCTAGGAGTGGGCTTCTGCATTGGATTCAGTCCTCTGGATCCAGAGCACCAAGGCTCAGGAAAGCTGCCCCCTGGCCTTCTCCTTGCCGGGGCTGTGAGCGCCGGGGACCCCTCTCCCCTGAGGTGCCGGGTGGTGGCTTTTCAGAAGCCACACTGGTCCCTCTGAGGAGCATCATCAAGAGAGCTAGAAAAACCCGTCTACTTACACAGGGAGATGATGACACTGTGAACTTCCAGCTATTCCGATAGCTTCTGGTGGCCTCTCGGTGGTTTTGATCTGCATTCCTCAGGGTTCTGAGCTTCCTTCACCTGCTTGTCATTTGCCTCTCACCTGGTGAAGTTCCTGTTCAAATATCTTGCCCATGTGAGAAACAAAAAAAAAAAAGACTTTATTTTGAGATGATTTAAAGACTCAGAGAAGAACTGCAAACACAGAACAGAACTCCGCCGTACCGTTTATCCTACTGGCCCCAGGATTAACATCCCACCCCAGGGGAGGACCGCAGAAGCCACATTAACGAAGTTACACAGGATTCTCTGCCAACAGGCGCTGTCTGCCCTGCACAGCCTGATACAGAGTCAGTTGTGTCCTCCAATCTGTGACAGGGTGGATCTGCATCTTTTAGGATCCTTCCGCTGCTTAAAACATCCAAGTTTTGTCTTAAAGAAGTCGTAGACTCGCATGCACTTGTAAGAAGTGGTACAGAGGCATCCTGCCGACCTCCTCAGCTGGCCTGCGGTGACCTCCCCCACACACCGTGCAGCTTCAGCACCGAGTTACAGTTACGGATGGACGCTGGGGAGGGATGCTAGAAGAACACGTCTACGCAAGCGCCCCCTGCTGCCCGCCAGCGGCCACGCCGCTCCCTCCTGGCTCTGTTCCTGTCTGTACTGTGTCACTCAACAATGTTCTGTAGATGGAATCACACAGTGCGGAACCTTTGGGAATGGTCCCTCGACCACTGCTATTCCCTAGAGAGCCAGTGGATTTGTGCACGTAGGAAGTGTCTTCTCCTCATTGCTGAGTAGCCCCCCATGGTGTGCATGCACCCCCCCCATCCGTCCAACGGACCACCTGCTGGAAGACCTCAGCCTTGCCTCCAGCGTCAGCTCCAGGAAGAGCTGATGTCCACCCCTGTGCATGGGGTTCTGGTGAACACAGATTCTGCTCTCTCTGGAAGAAGCGTAAGGAGGGCCCTGCTGGGGGCGTGGCCGAGCATGCTGCGCTGGGGAAAACCCGCCAAGCTCTGTCCCCAGTGGCTGTGCTGCCTCCCACCGGACGGGCGTCTACAGCACCAGGCGAGCCACTCTTCCTGGCCCTTGTCGTCCTGACGGATGTCGATGACATTTAATTTTCCTAATGGCTGATAATGTTGAGCACTTTTTCCTGTGCTAATCTGCTGTCTGAATAGTCTTTTGGGAAATGTCTCTTCAAATCTGTTGTCCATTTCCTAATTGGTTCTTCATTTTTTCTATTGTTGAATTCAAGTACTTTATATATCCTAGACACGCCTTTGGCCAGGTGTGTCACCTGTAGGCATCTTACCTCCATCTGATCCCCACCCTTGACCAGGTGTGTCACCTGCAAGCATCTCACCCCCATCTGTGTCTTTTCGTCCTCTTCACAGAGTCTTTTGCTGAGCAATTTTTAAAAATTTTGTTCAAATATGATTTTTCAACTTTTTGACTTTATGAATTGTGTGTTTGGTGCCAAATAAAAGCTCTTTACCAACTGTAGATTCTGGTGGTGTTTTCCTGTCTTCTTATTAAAATCATAAGCCTCATGTTTCGCATTTAGCCTTAGGCCCAGTCTTCACTAGACCTTTACAAGGTGGGAGACTTGGATTCAAGTCCTTTTCTTTCCTTTCCTCCCCCCTCCGCTCCCCCTCCCTCTGTTCCTTCTTTTGCCTGGGGTTGTGAAATCACACTATTTCTTGAGAAAGCCATCTGTCCTGAATTGAATTGCTTTTGTGCCTTTGTCAAAAACTGGCTGGCAGATTTGTGTGGACTTGGTTCTGGGCTCTCTATGCCACTCCCGGATCGTGTGCCTATGTCTCTGCTTATATCACCCAATCTGGATAACCAGATTTATAACTCTTCAAATTTGATAAGTTGACTCCTCCCTTTTTGTTCTTTTTCAAAATTATTTTAGTAAATCTAGTTTTTTGCTTTTCCACATGAATCTTAGAATAATTTTTATCGATGTCTCCGAAAATCTTGCTAGGTATTTGACAATAATTTAATTGAACCTGTATGTCAATTTTGGGAGAATGGACATCTTTACTAGATCTTTCTTTATTGTGTCAGGATTGTGTACCCTTCAGCAGATAAAGCCTGTGCAATCTAATCTACATTTAATTTACACTCATTTTTTCTAAGTGTAAGTGGTATTGTGTTTTAAATTTCAGTGTCCACATGCCCATTGCTAGTGGTAGAAAAGCAATTGAGTTTTGTATCTTTATCTTATATCCTGCCAACTTGGTGCATTCATTTATTAGTTCTGGTAGTTTTTAAAAAGTCTTCTTTTTCTGCACATTCAATCATCTCATCTGCAAATACACATAGTTTTATTCTTCCTTTCAGACCCACAGGCTTTTTATTTTATTTTCTTGTTATTGCCCTGGCAGGAACTTTCTGCCCTATGATGAATGAGAGGATGTCCTTGAGGTCCCTGTCCTTAGCAGCAGCTGTGGACCGACTGGTCTGTGTCTCCCTAAAATTAACATGTTGAAGTCGTAATGTGATGTGGAGCATTTGGAGGTGGGCCTCTGGGAGACATTAGGGTTTAGATCCTGTATGGGGAGCCTTGTGCTTCTCCAGCCAATCAGAGTGATCAAGACCAGCGGACGGGCTTCAGGCTGCCCTGCACGTCCTTTCCCATACCTGACGGCCAAAACTAAAACTTAAAGACAAGTTTCTCCACAGTGTCTGCCTCCACGAAAGCCACCCAACAAGTGTCTTGTCCCCATATATGTGAGCCTAATACACAGAAGCCATGACCCGAAGCCCCGGCTCTGCCCACGTCCATCGGCAGGAAAGGCAAAGGCAAGTCTCACTGCTTTACTGATTGGCTCAGAGCAGGGGCCCCAGGGTAACCCTGGGAGGGTCCTGGGCCCAGGAAGAGGGGTTCAGCCAGCTGCAGCCTGGGACATCAGGCCTCCTACTCTCTGACAGGGGTGATGCTGTCTCTCCACACTGAGGCCAAGATCCTGGACTTGAGGCGATCATGGGGTCCCCATGATGCTGAGAATCTGCAGACTCTGGCCAGTGCCTCCTGGCTAGGGCGAGGGGCCCTCCCTGTGCCAGAGGGCCTCTCAGCCCCAGGTTTAAGGTCTGTCCCTCCCAGGCCAGCCCTGCCCAGCCCTCCACCCTAACCCAGGTCCATGCCCAGAGGAGCGGCCTGACTCAGCAAGAGCCCAGGACCATGAGGTGAGGTCTTGGAAAAGGGCAGTACAAAGGACAATGGTGCTTCTCCAGCACCCAAGATCCCGCCCATCCTGCAGGGACACCTGCCTGAGGACCGAGGGGCGTCTGGGGACCCAGGTGGGCATGCCAGGCCCTGGGGGCAGGACCCACAGGAGCTCCCCAGACGCAGCACTGCTCTGTAGAGGAAGGGCAACAGGCGGTCAGGGGACAAGAGATGTGGTGGGGGCTCAGCAGCCCGGGGGAGGGTCTGGGGCTCAGGGGAGGGAGGC